GTCAAGGACGTCAAGATTTACATTATGATGCTGACCTTCACCGCTTACGTCGTCGGTCTCTCCTTCAACGCCTTCTTCCCTACCCTTACCCAGACCTTGGGCTTCGGCTACGTTCCCACCCTGCTTATGAGCTCCCCTCCCTGGGCCTTCTCCTGTCTTATCTCCCTCATCAACGCCTGGCACGCCGATCGCACTCAGGAGCGCTTCTGGCACATTGTCGGCCCTATCTGCGTCGGTCTCATCGGTTTCGTCATCTCCATGTCGACCCTCAACGTCGCCGCACGCTACGTCGCTCTCTTCCTTCAGGCCAGCTCGTACGCCGGCTTCATCGTCTTCTACTCCTGGATCTCATCCTCATTCCCGCGTCCCCCTGCCAAGCGTGCCGTTGCCATCGCCATGATCAACGCCTTCTCCCAGCTTGGTAACGTCGCCGGATCGTACGTCTGGAACCTCAAGGAGAATGGCTTCCGTAAGAGCTACGGTATCGTTACTGCCATGTTCGGTATCACCATTGTTGGTTGCTACATCTTCAAGGTCATTCTTGACAAGCTGAACAAGGAGCTTGAGCAGAGCGAGGCGGCTGATACCGCAAACAACACCAACGCGGAGGAGGCTGAGGCTTCGCACAGGCTGGGCAAGGGTTTCAGATACCTTGTCTAAGCGCTGCGAGTTATTATGTGAAGTTGAAACCATACGGTTAGATACCCCAAAGAGCGTATTGTACACTAAAACCACAATCTTGCCATGCTTTTCGAGGCTCGTGTCAATCACGGTATGTGGCAAGACTTATGTCGATAGAATGGATTAATGCCATAATGAATTGAAACGCATCGAGCGAATCAAGTAAATTTACCACTGAACACACAACCATCTTGTCCACTATTGTGAAGTCTGAGTGAAGTCCGCACTAAGAGATTGAGCATTCCAGCCACGGGGCACGCCGCAAGACTCAAGCTGCAAAAAGGGGGCAGAATTGGAGTAATTCCCCAAATCACAGGAAGAAGAATCTGCAAAAGTGAGTGGAGAAGAGAAAAGTTCAACTCTGCCAAGTATCGTATGGCCAACTTCCTCCGTGTCAGCATTAACGCCGACCACATTTTACTTCCGACAATATGAAAGCCAATCTCGCGATTCCCACTCCTCACCCGGCCAATCCCCGCGTTTTCCCAGATCCCGCACTTTTTCTTGACCAAGATACGGATACCTGGGGGAAGATTCCGGAGTCGGCCTTCACTCGGCCCTCCACGCCCTCCACACCGCCCCGCGTCTAGGATTCGGACTGTGACCGAGCACGAAAACCGGACGGTTGTCTCGAAGCAAGGATTTTACTCCATGAACTAAGCTGACAGGTCTTTCGCGACCCCGCCATCTCCTCTTCTCCAAATTTCCACTCTCGTGGTCCCACTTGGGTTTACAGTTCGGGTGAGGATCCTTGGTTAACCGCGGGACTCGGGAGGCTGGGGCCTTGTCGAACTTCCGCCCACACCACGACTCCAGAAGGGGGTTCTCATAGCCGGACAGGCCCGTTTGAGCGAGAGGCTTCACGTCAGCAAAGCTCCCAGCAGGCACGGCACGTCAACTCAATTGGTTCTGAAATACTCGTTTGTAGTCATTTCGTGTTTCCTTCGAAATTGCCCAAAAACACTTGATGCCGCAACTGAATTCTCCTCACTAGAATTTTATCCCGGAATAGAGCCGGAAACCCAAATTTGAGATAACATAGGTCAGAATAGATCGCCAACTTGAACCAGGCACAGTTGCGAGAACAAGTTTCAACGGGGTATTTGTCATAGATATCAACCCATCAGTGCGTGTACTTGAATCTACTTAGGGAACTTCTAGAGCCGCTTCTTACATTCCACTACCTTAACGTTATATGTACTAGCGATGTCTAAGGCTAAGCTTTTTGACACTTCAAGGGGCAGTGGCCCAACTCCAAGGTACCGGGATGACAGCCAAGCCACGCGAATGCACCTTGAGATGCTCCATTCGATCAACGCTATTTCAAATTCGGGGTGTCGTCGAGAGGTACAGGGCCATGACTTGCATGCTGCATGACCATCCCGCCGGCATTGGCTGACGTAGATCACCGAACAAAGGCCCCTTAGATTGATAGCCGACGGAACCTAGGATGTTTTACCCCTCTTTGCTACATGGCCGGGAGTATCCGTCGACAGCCTTGATAGATGATCGATCCTGCGGCTCACCTTCCTTCTTAAACCCGGAAGCCACATGGTACGATTCCCATGCAGACAAGCATGATGTGATTTTGAAAAACGCGCGCCTTGGCTGATTCAGCCTCATGTCTTGACTAACATTGGCTTATTGGCCAGCTTATATGGCCAAACATGGCATCGTTTCTGTCCATAGGGTTTGTTTCGATTGTCCGATGGCAACTCATCTCAATTGACTGACCATACACGACTGAAAGATGGAGTTGAACAGGGCTTGCTAGTGTTAAGCAGTTAATTCAAAAAAAGAAAAGAAAAGGGCAATGTCTCCTTCAATTTGAACGAGGAGTACCGTCTTCGTATTGCAAAGCATACTTATCGAGTGACTTTCGTAGGTTGTCCGAAATTATTAGCCTCCACGGGTTTTCCATAATTGCGGAAACCTCTTTGATAAGCCATTGATCTTACTGCTAGGCCAAGTGCAAGGTCCAGTCCTCAAGGAATTTGAAATCTTGGTCAATTATGCACTTAGGAAATTGTGACTGATATGGGATCAGAATTTAGCCGGTCCTATGAATCGAAAGGCACATATTCATCCTCGGTCTAGAATAATCCGAAGACTTATCCGCTCTCTTGCTTTTCAACTGGGGCTCTGTGTTTGTTAGACCAGGGGTTCACCCCACTTCACGATGGCATCTAGGTTCAGTTTCCGGCCAGGGATACTGTGGCGGCATAACTGCCTGTAAGGCCGTGGCGGTCTTTTGCATCTTTCCTTGCAATATGCCCTGATGCATCGTAGCTGTGCGTCATCCCATAGAGTTCTACAAATTACCTGCAACGGATGTTCCGCTCAATCATTCATTTCTCGACGCGTTGTGGAACTAGGATGAGCAGGCTTTCGCTCTGAAATGGTGTGAGGCGTAATAGTGAAGAATCGTGGGATCACGATTGTCCGTCTGTACTTATTTCTCTAACTCTCGTTTACAAGCTGATCATCAAAAGCCGTGACACCTCCTCGTTGCATACCCAGGCATTTCCAAAGCCCAAGGTCTGCCATTTCTTCCTTATCTCGGTTGCCGACCACCTCATGACAGTGGCTCGGGGTCTCAGCGACAAGATTTCGGCTGATATGCGCGTCACCCGAACTTTTGATCGCCGACGGGGGATCACTAGCAGCAGCGAGCGTGCATGATGCTTCTGAGCCTACCAGCTTGCATGCAGCGACACTTTCGCCGTCGTCTTACCAAACTAGGTTTATCAATCGGCAATCATGTTTTCATAACAGACACTCAGCTCGGTGTTGCCCCTGGCTCGAAGTTGTTTAGTCATGGTTCATCACAAGATGCTTACACCTCTTCCTTACACCTCTTCCTCATGGAGCTGCGTCGGTGCATCAGTGAAACCTTTGGTGGCAGACTTTTAGTAGTAGCAATTTTACGTCTGGAAATTATACGCCTTTAGTCATCTAGGGCAGGTTTCTCTAGCGTCGAGTACGTGCCTAGTCGTGCTGTTCCCACTCCATATGCCTAGACCGGGGAGACATATCTGATGGTCCCCGACAACCACAGCGTCAATGCTCATACAACGGCCAATCGGCTATAGTTCTGAACTTCAATTCTAACGGCAATACATCACTGCACCGTTGATAAGTGATGGGCTGCAACAGAGTAGTTCGGATGACGCACGCTGTGACCAGAAGCAAGACTTCGTCGTACACGGTCGAGGCTTGAGCGCGTCGCTATATAACTTCAGGTCCCACTGGATCACTGAGTGCCTTATGTACTCAGAGAGGACTTGCATTACTACAAATAATCAGTTTCACGGAATTACTCTAGATACGTGTACTGTTTATCATTGGAACAAGAACTTAACCCTTTGCTCCTATCGGCTCATCTCGAATTCCCCACCTAGAAAAATGAAGGCGCTCTCAACTCTTCTTATTGTTGCGGCAACAATCACCCATGTATCTGCTGCACCAACAGCGGACCCGAAAAATCTCGTATCAGAATCGAGTCTCGAAGCGGAATATCACACATCCTGGTTAGAAGATCCGACTGTAAGGAACCCACCCCCTGACTCAAGTTTACACGAATTTAAACGTCGCAGTTGGCTAACACATGATAGCAACCATGGCTTCGAAAAAGAGCGAGAGGACAAGGGGACCGTTGTGATCCTGGCAGAGGCGATTGTGTGACAGGCCTTGGGTGTTACGGATGCGGGGGACACTCGCCAGTGTGTCAACGTGGGCCAGGGTCAAATTTGTGCTGTCATCGAGATAGCCAGGCTTCCGTGGCTATATGCGATAGAACGTAAGAGTAAGGTGGTGACCGAGTGTTCCGATAGGTGTTGGCTGTGATCTGTTCATGTCTATAATTGCATCTAATACATGCAGTGATGGGGACATAGGTAGCCCACGAGTGTAGAAACAAGAGATCCAGATATCCTACATATATGCACATAGTTTTGGTTATCATGAGAGTTTCTTCGTGAGGTGTGCTGGGCTTTCATTCTATCGAGGTACTTTACTTACCTGTCAAGAGGGGCCGCATCGATGCCGTTCTTAGCCATACCTACCCCAACATTCTTAACTTTGATGAAAAACGCTCTCTTCAATTTCTTTCTTAAGCATATATACACAAAATCCACCTTGTATCAATCACTTTGTGGCGTCAAAGCTCCCCAATTCTCTCTCTCCACCCACCCAATGATAGCAGCATGTCCACCAAGACCATTGACTAGTGACGTGCATTGAGACCAGCCCGAATCATAATGCATTAGCTACCAGTGAGGCCTACTCAGGAGCATGATGCTTGTGTGTGCCCATCTCCTTTATTTTGGGGGACGTCTGGGCTTTCCATTGCGGCCGGGCCTCCGGTTATTATTGTTATTGTTGGGGCGGCGAGGTGGCTTGCCACGGGCCTCGATGGTATCGCCGAGTCCCTGTGATGGTGAAGTCAGCCAGTGCTCTAACATAGTATGTGCTTTGCTTCAGAGCTTACAGCGACAACGTCAAAGTCAGATTGTTCCTGTGGTTAACCTAGTCAGTTGAGAGCACCGATAAAGGGCCTGAGCTGGGTACATTCCAGGCCAGGGAGAACTCACAAGAGCCTCGTTCCTCTAGTTTCCCAGACCCGTTAGCATCCGACTTTGTTACAACTCATAGATTCCATCAACTTACCTCGGATAAGTCTTGAACATCCGCTCCCATCTGCACATTGGGAGCCGCCAGCACAGCGGTGGCATAGAGTGCAACACTAAGGGTCACGATGGTTTTGAGGGAAGAGACGAGCATGTTGAATATTCCTAGCCAAGTATTGTTCGATGTCCTGAAAGTTGTGTTTGTATGAGCTATCGATCACGGAAGCACTCAGACCTAGAGGCGGCTCTGCATCCGATACTTATAGGCATCAGCCACGTTGTTTCCATAGAAGACAGGAGTTAGAGTATGTTGCTCTCAGTACCGTCCAATGCATGTGAACGTTCGACGCTCGTGGCCCATCACTAAAACAGCCTCTTGCTTCGATCAGAACGGCATATACTTTCACTCTCAAGTTTCAACAAGAAGTCTCAAAGGCCAAGGCTGCACGGCGATGAAGGCATCGAAGAGGGGTTCGGCGTGGGACCAATCAATATGCGATCCCCCGAGAACGAGTCACGGCATCCCTATCAACTGAGTATGCTGACAGCACAGCCAACCATACTAACATTGAGGAACTATACGCGAACTTAGAGATCTTAGTGTCAAGATTTCATATGCGACGATATCTGTTCTGGTGGTACTGCTTGCGGCACACCCGAGAGGCTAAGAATAGTCCCGCGGACCTCCCACCCATCTCATCTTTGACGAAACATCTGCCTTGATCGAGACAGGGGGCAGGGGTTCCTTCTCAGAGGCTCGGCAAAAGTCGACTTGTCTTGGTAGTTGGGGATCGTTGAGCCACATGTTCCGTTTCGTTCGGCGCGATGGCACGGCCATGATCGCCGGTGTCAAGAGCTGCTCTTATGTAGATCAATATGATTTCCGACAATGATACTCTCTAGTACTACGTGCTTTAGACTTATTTTCCACATTTCCATCAAAGTAGATCGCTGGCCATCATAGAATAATTTTCCTTTCGATGGCTGACAGTTTTAACCCCGCATTTGCTTTGACTTCCCGCTCTATACACAGAACCAAAACTAGTTGGGACTCTATCCCGCCTCTCCCGCGAAGAGCCTCTTTTGACCCAAACTCGACAGTCTGCCCATCCTGTGACAGCTCATGTTCAAAATACAAAGCTTAAATTGTTTGACAAGAAGTGTTTTGTTTGTCAGATTTTATTCAGACGGACCTCGGCTCCAAAGTCCATTATCTTCGCCGATCCAAAAGTCTCAAAGGGGCTAGCCTTTTAATCGGCACGAGCAAGTTGACACGGCGTCGCACTGCAACAATCCGTGGAACGAATCACCTGGATGGGAAATACAGAATCCAATACCGCCAAGAGTGTCTGGACTGATGGTGAATAATGAGGCTGGCATTGGACCCTGATTAAAGTTGACGAGAACGATCACGTTGAGAGGGGGCATGGGGGGGGGGGGCCATGAACATTTCATCAATGCATTGTAAGGCTGGTGGGAGCGTGAACCGCGCGCGGTGAGCTGAGGCCAAGTCTGGCGCCGAGCTTCGATCTCCCGGCCCGCCAGACCGCCTAAAACTGCTTCCAACGGCTGGAGTTTCTGGTCTGGATTAGGAAGTTAGATGAGCCCCGGGGCGATCTGCCCGAGGTTTGGACGACTAGCTGGAGTGCCAAGAAGGACATGGGCGGTATGTGGTGGTCAGTAAAGTACGCTGCCCGCCGGCGGCCATCGCTCTCTCGCTAGCAGCCGATGAACACGTGCAAGTTGAGCAGGATGTTGCGCGACTGGTTCCGAGGCTTCAGTCCGATCTGAAAGTAAACTTAGCAAGGAGACACTTCGAGGCGAGCCCATGTCTAACAAGATCGGCAGAATTATCCCCCTACGGAAAGTTATGGTCAGTTGCCCCGCAAATCCATTGACTTGCCATGTTTCCGATGTCTGAGTAATAAGCAAGTGGCACGAGTAAAGTTCCCTGACCACACTACGAGTGGTGACGATGGAATGGGGTTGGCGGCTACTATCGTGAGCAGTCGTCTATGCTGCCGTAATCTTGAGATCTTAGCTTTGGGTTCTGCGATCGGTATGTCTAACAAGGCATGAGGACGCATACTTCTTCCATGTTCCTGTAAAATCACCTGCTTTCATAAAAGATTCAAGAGTAGCCGATGTTTGATCTTGCGCGTATATTGATCCACTTCCTGCGGCACCGAGAGCCTCGAGCTCTGCGGAAGGCCGAGCCGAAGGTGTGGTATTCCAAGGTGAACAGTGGCGAGCATCAGTCACCTCTCGTAAGGCACTGAGATGATTCTTTGTCATCTGTTACTCATAGATGTTGAGGCTGAATATTTGATTATCTGTCGTTGGCGCAACTCCATCTGCAAGCATATCTATAGTTGTCAACCGCCGAAGTACCTTACCAACTAAGGTACACGTAGGCAAAGTAGAGATAGGAAATAGATGGATTTGATCGGGGGTATCTTAATTTGTAATGGAGCAATCGAACTTTCTAATACCTCGACTAACAATAACACGTCCAGCCGCACAATAACGTTCTTTCGCAAAACGAGTCGTGCCTCTTGTGTGTACTGTTCGAGATTCTCTCTAGAATCGCAATAATGAGTGTTGAAACCGAGGAATCCGTCGAGACTAGGTTTCAAGTCCCTCAACCCCTCGATGCGGCGTTCTTTTGCAAGATGCGAATGGGGTACCAGAATTAGAGGAATCCTTTCCCTCTTCACTCCTCCCAGTATCGCTGTTACGAGGACATACCCAATAGACAGGTAAAGTCGAGGTAATTCAAATGCCAGGAGGCTATGTTTTTCTCGACGCGACACTGCCAGCCAGACGTGAAAATCAAATCTTCTTGCCAGTCTAGGAACTTCTCTTTCCATATGGCTCAAAGGGAAACAGGGCGGATACGCCGGCCATGACTCCGAATAGTGCCGCGCAGACATACAAAGGAACCGACGTGGCGGTGTTGCCGCTGCTCGCCACGAAAGCAGACACAATACCCATGAGACGGTTGAAGGCGACGGCGATACCGTTACCCGTGGCGCGATGGGCTGAGGGGAAAACCTCGACGGTGTACGCGTATAGTGTACCGTAGTAAATATTGATTGCACAGGCTAAATTGGAATGTTAGCTGGAAATGCTTTCAAGTTTGAGAAGGTTTGAAATCGAATTACTCACCAATCGCGCAACTTAGACCGATGTTCTGGTCAGCGGTCGACACTGCTGTGTAACCGAAGAAGAACGCCATTGAGAGCAAAGCGCCGATGGCCATTGTGTACTTGCGGCCGATGCGAGGAAGATTGGCAAGGTAACCAGCGATGATCGGACCGGGAATGCCAGAAATATTGGTCAACGTGTAGTTTCGCCACGTCTCGAATGGTGTCTCGGTGCTGTCCGGCACTCTCGAGGCAAGATATGATCTATCACTCTCGGTCAATCTCTATCGCATTCTTCAAAGTCTCTCGCGAACTTACGGCAGGAAGACGTAGAACAGGGGATAAGCCAGACCGATCAGAGTCCATGACAGCCAAACCAATACAGTGCTAAGCGTCATTCTTTTGGTGTAAAAGAGACCCTTGACGTGAGCACCCAACTCGCGAAGCACAAACTTGAAGTTGTTTCTGCTCTGGCCGGCGTTCTTGATCTGGCCGCACGCCGTCAACTTCTCCAGCGTGAGCGAACAGGGTCGGTTGTACTTTTGCGCCATCTTTTGATAGTTGCGCACCAGGTCTTCATCGCGGCCGACGCTGAGGAGGTACTTTGGCGTCTCCTGCAGGCGCATGACGGTCACTCGCGCAACAGACGCGACGAAGACGAAGGCACCCGAAGTGAAGGAGACGTAGCGCCAGCCGGGGTTGTTGGACCAGTTGCATTCCATACCCTCGGTGCAATTCCATCGCTCCTGGGCTAGGAAGCAGTCAGCATCTTACTGATCAGTTGCAAAGCCGATAAACCCATCGCATCTTACTCAAGAATCCCCACGCAATGAAGCCCACCAAAGCCTGTCCGAAACCCCACCACAATGCAAGCGCCGTGACTGTCCACTGCTTATTACTCGGCAGGAATTCGAGAAAGACCGTCGGATCGAGCACCAGGTTACCACCAGCTCCGAACGCCGATAGCGCGGTGAAGAAGCCCCACGATTCGATATTGGGGCTCGCACCCGAGACGATTGTCGCGAGAGACGTGATGAGCAGCGTAACGTTGAACGCGATCCTCCGTCCAATGATATCCGCGCCGAAACCCCAGAAAATCGCTCCGATGAGCAGGCCCACGTAGAGCGAGACGGTGCCGGCGTTCGAGTAGGTGGACGGCTTGCCGAGTTCGAGCATCGCACCGGCGTTGGTGACGGACTGGACCAAGGCGATGAGCGAGTCGACGGCGTAGCCGAAGCCATTGAGGACGAAGAGCTTCCAGTGGAAGTTTGTCCAGCCAATTTCATCGTTTGCCTGGGTTGGTTAGTTTCTATAGTTAAGCGGATTGGCAGCATTGAGAGCTGTGTTGGCGGCGGACGTGTCTGGGTGAGAGACTCGTGAGCCCAGACTCTGGAAGCTTTTGGTTTTTTTTGGTTGGTTCATACGTCATTGACGAGGTGCATTTTCATTGCGAGCACGGGGTCCTCGCCCTCATTCTCCAGAATGTCTTTTGCCGAGCTGACGGAGGTGTCTTCGATGTCAGAGGCCGGAGCCCCGGAGTCGACCGTCTTCTTCTGCGTCGCCGGATCGAACATCTTTGCGTCCGGTTCGTGATGCATCATGAAGTTGGATGCTCGGTGGTTCAGAGGGAGAGGGATGAGGCGAGGACGAGGAGAAGCGGAGCCACAGAATGAGAGAGGGAACTAGGCGTAATGAAAGCAGGAAAATGAAAAAAAGGCAAAATTCAGACGAGTTAAAAAAGGTCCAAGTTGTCTTTACTGCGGGGTGATTTTGTGAGAGAGGAACGAGCCTCAACCAATGTTACACGACCAAGGGAAATTGGCATAGGGCGAAAGTGTTCCACTATTGTACTTTTGATTTTGAGATCATGTCGTTGAAGCTATCCTGTTCGTCGTCTGCCGGCCCGCTTCCTATCTTATTCGCTTGGCCCATCTCATAGCGCGATTAAGCTGCATGCTGGAAATGGCATGGTTCTCTTGCGGTTACCATGCTCAAACGCGGCGGGTATTTCCCCGAGTACAGCGGAAAGCAAGACACCAACACACAGAGAGCTTAGAAGACAGTGGAGACCTGAGCGAGCTATCTGATCCACCATAGGTTAGACGGCGTAAAGCCGGGGGCTTCTCCGCCTTCGAAGACGAACTTAACGAGGTTACGAGAATCTAGCAAACAATATGAACGATGTCTTATTGGACACAGCACTTGTCGAAGCATCGCTGACACCACTCTTGATGAAACGTTTCCGTTAGTGGTGCTTTGGCGGGAGAGCCATTCACCAATGACGTGCACGAACATCACCCCACGTGCGAGGCGAAATTGGAGCTCCCGTCGAGGTTGGGAGCGGATCAGCGGGTAGGACACTTTGGGGAAGACACAGGCACACAGGAGAGCACCGCGTTGGCCGCCGCCATCCGCGGCATCCTTGCGGGTCGGGATGAGCCTGTCTTCGATAAGAGAGAGGAGGTTCGCGGGTCGCCCAGATATCGAGTGTAAACTGTCATCTTCGATGCTTAAAGGTAGGTGAAGTCATGTGACTTCTCCTGTTATTCACGTACTTGAGGAGGGGAAATCAAGTATCGGGGAAGATTAGTGAGCTCAAGCTCAAGATAGGCCGTCTCTTTGCCCCCTCCCCGTTCCGTCCCCATAATTCCCTTGCTCCATCCTCGGCCGTTCCCCACCCGGTCCCTTCCGGGCTTCTCCGGGTTATTCCGGGACTTATCACCCGGAGGAGCGGTCCGCTTCCGTCATTCCAGCATAAAAGTCGCTGGTGTAAGACGGATCAATCCGGTAGGTGGTTTTGCAAGTGATGCCCCCCTGCTGTTGATTTGCCTCTCATTGCTGTTCGGCAGTTGTTAACCTTGGCTGAGATAAAGAGATTGACGCAAGCCCGAGATAACAACCCATGTTCGAGATATCTGTCGACAACGAGCTGAAGATATGTGTTGATGAAATCGTGGTGTATGATGAAGTTCGTTATTTCGCATGGTATGGCGAATGCTAGGCTGAGATATCTTTCTCAACGTGGTCAGCTTCGCCCATTACACGAGTTGCCTGCCTTGGGTATAGCAAGCAGAAACTACAGCGAGGATCCTGACAATATATATCACGGGTGGATTGCCATCTGAGTCTGGTACTCCAACAGAGATCAGCCCAACGACAGGAATATTCAAATGACTTTCCGAGCCAGTGGGAGATGAAACTTAAAGGTCAAATAGTTCCTTGTTGGCATCCGAGTATATATCCCACCCCACGCATCGGCCACCTAACGTGATGAGAAGAGCCATTTCCTGGAATCTAGAGTCCCTGTCGGAACCCATGTCATAGAGATAACGACTGCGTCATACGATCATGAGGGCGATGATGAATCAATTTATTCGTGCCACTTACTACACGTAAAAGGTAAAGTACGTGAAGGAGAATTATTTTGAGCCCTCACGCGACTCCCCATAGCATAGCTGACATATTGCCCTTGAGTGACCCTTACGGCTACTTCGCTTGGGGATCGAACTGGACTTCTAGCCCTACTGTTTTCGATGTTTCCATCGCTGATCAAGAACTACAACGCGTGGAGCATACGGGAACTCACGTAGAAATGCAGATGAGCTCCACCAACACAGGACCACGTTACCGCAATATTGACCAAATCGACTTACAAACCACTCTCGCAAAGCAGTGCTTGAAGAGCCTCAATGGGATGTTTTCGAGAACATAGAAGCAGACAAGTTTGAATATCCGTTGCCCGGCAACGCTCAGGGTCCACCTTCTTCCTGGGTCGTATCGAACATGCATGTGGAAAAAGCAAGTTTGTAGTGTGAACAACAAGCTGCTGGAGCTGTCGCGACTGGCAAGTAACACTTATCGCGTCATCGGCCCAAGAATCTGGTTTGCCTTGCGATAGAACTGTTAAGGATTTTGATTACTTTCACGGATATGCTCAGAAGATCGCCGGACCGAGCATTTGGAACGCACTCCCATACGGATAGATGACGTATTTGACACATCGCCGAATACAATGCTTGCCCAGATTGCTGTCCAGTGGCAGTCGCGCGGGCGCTACCTTAGTGAACAATACCTAGGGACCAGCGCGACGGCACACAAACGCGGAATTGAACGTACGCAACGGGAAGTTCCCAATTCCCGAGGCGGCGACTGGGCGATGCTGTACTCAAAGGGGTTCTTGGAACATGAGCAACATCAAAAACAGAAGCTATCCTCTGGCATCCCGTACAGCAAAGTTTGAGGTTTCAAAAGGCAAGTAGGGGTATGTTGTGAGTAGTGCAAAACCTTGCGCTTAAAGCTTCACTTTTCTTCTAAGGGACCTAGTTGCTAGTCGCTATCGGTAGTAAACTCCCGTTCGCAAGTAAGGTTTGTGATACATGCGACTAAGGGGTCCCGCTTTCTCACCGAGGTTTCTCCCCATCTCCAAAGTCTGGCCTATCCTTAAAGTGAAACCCTTGGGTCCTTCTTCGGAGCTAGATCCTATGGAAAGTATCGTGTTCTCGTCAACTCTTCAGGCTTCAATTCCTTCACTAATAGGATTCACGACTTCCTTTTGCGGGGCCTTTGCGGGTTCAACCAAACTAAACCAAACACAAACGGCAGACAATTCCCGGTGGGCGCGACACTTGACTGTCCACGGGTGTAGCCCGGGCTCGGAGGCGCAGGCACGAGATTGGGGGCACAAAGAACGACCTTCGAGCGCTGTGATTCCCGAAAATTGTGGCTGAGAACAATACCTACTACGCTTCGATCTGACATTAGGCCACCTCCAATGGAGATATGTGTATCCGTATTGCACGAAAAGCCTGATGCGATTTTATCGACGGTTGCAATGAAGACGCGATGCCGAGAAGAGCCGTGTGGACGAGCAGGACCGAAAGGATAGACACCTCGAGTAAGAGTAAGCACCTGCGCCGCTGCACGGCAGGCAACGAGTGTCGATCATTGAACGAGCCTACGCGGGGGCCAGGGACTTTTTCAAAGGGGCCAAAAGGATGAACTCAGACATGATCAACCAATTTAGGCTCTATTCAACAGCCCCAAAAACGAGAGACAGGGCCTGCAGGGAAGATCACGACCGGCATGGACAGCATTGGGCAGCCTGCTGTCAGGCTGACATTGCGCTCACTGGGCTCACTGCACGTAATTTTGCGAAACGCAGATCATCCCGTCTCGCCCGTCCGTCCGTCTAGTCACGAGGGCATGAGACATCACTCGAATAGTGTTCTGTCTGTCTGACAGACGCGCTGCGAGTTTGCGGCAACCCACAGGAGCTGGAAGCGATGCTACCACAGCCCTGATTACATCGACTTTTTGGCCCATTTGTGTTCCCAACGCGGTCTAGGTGGAATACTCATTAAGAGAACTTTGGTGACTGATCAGTGTATGAATGCTCGTGCGCACCTAGCTCTCCATCGCCCCATCGCCGGGGACTGGCGGCGTGCGGAGCTCTCAAGACGGACGGAGCTTCAACCCAAGTGCCCCGACAGAAATCCAATCTGTCAATAACCCTGCCATCGATGGGCTGGGCAGCAAGCTGACTGGGATTTCGTCGGCCAGCTTGGCAGCTTTGTTAGACTGTTGTGGATATACCTAGACGGTGGACATTATCTGCCAAGTTCTGGACCGATTCTGCCATCCGATGGTGCGGACTGCATCGAGAGCGAAACGCTAGGACTCGATGAAGACCTGAGCCCGATTTTTGGGTTCGAGACGGGTTCGACAAGCGGCCAAGCGCCCATGCCAACCTTCCGAAGTCGGGCTTTAGACTGAACTCAAAGAGACGCCGAGGGGAGGAATGGCGGTTAATTACGAGGTTAGTATCCTTGCCCTCACCGATCAGAAAGAGAGAGGCAGGGACGCCGTTGTGCGCCGTTGGGCAGACGTATTTTTATCACGGTTCGTGTGAAGGTTCACAAATCAAAGTCCCCTGAACCGACAATTCGAAGAGTCTCTCACAGGACTCTAGAAAGTCTCACGCAGAGGGCGAGACGATTGCTTTCTCCGTGCCGTCCTGTCCGCCACCCGAGACTCGAGAGAGAGGACGAGAAAAGTCTTCATTTCGACATCCGGTTCCCCGTTACGAAAGCGAATCACCAACGGCGCTTGGCTACATGGGTATCCCCATGCATCTCCATGCGGGGAAATTGGAACCATCGACCTGTTTAGTAGCTTAGGGCCCCGACAACCCGAGCAAAAGGGCAGCAGAAGCGGTGCAGAAAGTGTGCCAGTGTGCCAGTATCCCAGGAGCTGAGCAGCTCGTCGTCACAATGGCGCACACCAAGTTCTTCGTACTAGCCATGAGCAGTTACCGACAGACAGACAGACAAGCGTGACAGGGCCCCTTGGTCTTGACCGTCACGAAGAGTGGCCTGTCTTGTCGTCCGTTCGTTCCATGTTTACCCTTGCAAAAGCAATGCTGGCGACCCTTTACCGTTCCCCCGGGCCATCGCGCGAATCACACCTCGTGGACCGCAGTCTCGGATCATCATCAATGACCTTTTTGCTAAAGTTTAGCTGCATGCAAACTCGGCAACCATTGTGTCTTTCCTCAAAATACCCAACTCTCCCACCCCCTTCTCCTACGGCTTTCTTTCCTCCATTTTGTCCCTTTTGCGCTTCCTTCTCCTTCTTCGGCCTCTTCTGGGCCTCTCTAGTGCAGACATATCTAGCGCACCTCGTCTCCGGCCTCCTCCTGTGCCTCCCTTGCGTCCCTCCCGCGCCTTTCCCAGATCGAATGAATTCGAACCCCGCGCGGTAATCCAACAGAAGCTAGAATAAAGACGGCTTGGCATTGGGCTGGGGTGGGTGGTAGTAGCTGACTCAGAATCCACGTCCTACCTACTTTCGCGAATCCCACTCCGTCCTCCCTTTTCCAATCCATTCCTCGGCGGCTCTTCTTTCAGCGACGGCCTTTCTGTGGTCGTTTCTTGCTCCGCCCCCGTCCTCCTCTTTAAACATCTGGCTGTGCTCTTTCAGGCCTTGTCAAGTTCGTCCCATCTGCGTTTCCCTTTTCCCCACACTTTGGACGTCACAACGTTTGCCAAACAAGAGCAACCACCATCAGAATCCATCCCTTATTCAGCACACTGGGGATCCCGAGACCTTGGTACCATCGGCCGCTTTCAGTCAAGGGGCCACTGCGCAGTTCGAATCTCATCAAAGAGAGAGAGTCCATCAAGATCACATGGGGATACGGATATAGCAACCTGCAAAAGAGAAGAAAGGCCAGAACAACAGGAAACTCACTCGAGGAAGAAAAAGAGGCGTTGCGACAAGACGTACAAGAACATAACAATGTCAGCACCAGCATAACGGCCCTCGTTGCCGCCGCGCCCCAGCAGCCAGCCATCAACTTTACACTGGAACCCCGAACCCGACGACAAAACATCACCAACACAGAAATGTCGGCAGATGTGACCTTTGACATCGTCACGGCCAGCATCTGCGCCCTCCTCATCATCGTCCGCTGCGGCTACCGCATCCTCCTACGATGTAAAGTCCACGATACCTGCCACCGGATGTGGCACGTCGACGACGCCTACATGGCCTTTGCGCTCCTCCCGCTCATCGGCCGCACGACTTGCATCTCGCTCTCCTTCTACCTCAACCCGACGCACACGTATGATGCCGCCACCGAAGAGGCGGCCGCGGCGCGGAATCTCAGTGTTGAGAAATTGGCAGAGTATTACGTCATCTCACACAAGCTGCTTATACCGGCTCGCATATTCTATGCATTATTGTATGTCGCTTACACCTACTTGCCTGAGTCTATTCCGCCTCACACTCACTGTTGTGAGGGTGGCGGACTGCAATTCAAGGCGGTGTGTCTAATATTCGTTCACTGCTGACCTATGCCGTGCTCTTGTATAGCTTGTGGTCGTTGAAGCTCTGCCTGCTCAACTTTTACTCGCGCTTCGTGGACATTTTTGGATGGGGCAAAGCTGTCACGAATGCTCTTTGGTGGTTTATTGTTATTACGTTTTTTGTTATCTTGATACCCACTCTTGCGGAATGCCGGCCACTTTATTTGTAAGTTGTTGCCTACCTCTATCAATCCGGCAAACGAAAGAGACGTCAAATAGTCTAACATTGTCATCAATAGCATGTGGTCCCCTGATCCTACTGGCGCAAATACCTGCCATCGCGCCCTCGGAAACCTCATCACAATGGCCGTCTTCAACATCGTTACCGATATTGCGCTTATCGTCTTCCCGTTTCCTATCTTTCGTCATGTTAAACTCGACAGCAAAGTGTTCGTACCCACCCATTGAATCCCTCATTGCTTGATTTCCTGAGGACTAACACCCCTGTAGTAAGGTGCAGCTCGTGCTCTTATTCAGCATCGCTGGCGTTGTTGTCGTCATCACCATCATGCGACTACCCATGATACTGAACCAGGCAGTATCACAAAGATCTCGTTCCATGGTAGGTTTTCGGCCAGTGTATGTGATGCCGTAACGATCGCCCACTAACGAGTTCTGTACAGTGGGCATCCATAGAGATACTTTGCGCCTGTATCGTCGCAAATACAGCATTCTTTTACGCCTTATTGAAAGACTACCAGCGAGGCCACGACTCTCGCGGGGGCAACTCGAGCTACGTGCAGCAGCCCGATTATTACATGCAAGCGATTCCTTCGCCAGAGTTGCGGAGGGGATCCTCGGCGCGCTCTGATGGTTTAGAAGTGCCGGACCATTGGTCAAGGGAGAGCAGATCAAGTAGATCTAGTAACATTCCTATTATAGCATGAATGACGAGATGATGGCGCCCGTATTGCACGTGTCTACCATCCGTGCGATGTCTCTAAGTAGGTTGCGACAAGGGACTCTAGTCTTTCTGCTAGCCTTGGAAGACATGTGAATGTTTGATGATCCCATGAGGACTAGTGCTGACTCTGATGTATTGACGTAAGGGGTAAATCAGCCAACTTGGAATGTCACTGCAACAAACTACCATCTTCATTACCAGCTTCATCATCAAATCTCCAAATAACCAGGCTCTACCCCGCCAAGCAACTGCCCTCATCAATCCGCTCCTTTAATCACGATCTATCGAGACCAGACAGGATGACTGACACCTCTACGCTCTCAAACCTCGCATCCTACACCTTCGGCGGGCTCTGCATCCTCTCCGCCCTCCCATTCGTCGGCATCCCGTTTCCCAACCGCCGCGCGGCAGACTACTACGCCGGTAAAAGCGAGTGGATGTCGCAAATCTTTCGCCGGCGTCTCACCCCCAGACAAGCCGGATACTTTGGTGCAGCGTTACGCATCGCAGTCGGCGCCGCCGTCATAGTCCCCGAAATGAGGGAGCCCGCGCTGCTCTTCAACGGGGCTGTGATCACGTATGGGACCATCAGGGCCTATGTAGATGGGCGACCTATGCTCCCGCAGTGGGGAATGTTAGCAGTGATTGCGGTTTGTCTTGGTCTTGGACGTTTATCGCAAGCTACTTTGGTTGAAGAGCCGTAGCTCGCGAAAGAACGGGGGCTTTCGAGTTGTAATAAGCTTGATGTGACTTCTAGAATGGTCAAGGTTGCACTGCTGTGTCATATGGTAAACGAGTTCCATGACGATCATGTCCATCAATATCGCATTACAGAACTGAAGATCCTGATATCGAAGTTTTCTAGACACGGAGCATACCATTGGCTTTCCTACACTTTCCCATGATTCAGATACTCTTCAATCGCAGCGTCCGCTTGCCCCGGACTATCTACATGCACTAGCACTCGGTGATCCGGTCTCACGACGATCCCTTTACCGCCCTTGATTTCCCGGACCACACCATACCAACTCTTCGGCAAACCAAGGCCTGACACGTCAACAGCCCAGTCGCAAGACGCGAATGCAGGGTTTGCGCAGTGCAGCACGGTAAATCGATCGTAGGGCACGAGGTCCAACAGAGACAGCCCCTCTCTCGTGTTTCCGTGCGGCAGCCTTGCCCCGGGACACGCTTGCGGCACATAGACCGTCGGGTCATCAAGCAAGGCTTTCGTAGCGGACGGGTCATCGTAGATGAATCCGAGCTGGAGTGCAAGCGAGTCAAAGTGTCTACTCGCCTCCTTGACAGCTTCGCCCGCTGCAGCGGAAACGGCGCGGCGTTGGAGGAACGCGTCCATGGCGAGGTCCAATCCCGGAGCTTCTTGTGCCTTGGCTTCTTGGAACTGAATAGAGAGGCCAACGAGAGAGGTACTGACGGAGTAGAACGCTGCCTCGCTAGCCTTCGAGTACTCGAGATTCGCCAGTGCGACGGGCCTACGCTCGCGCGTGAAGCTGGCGAGAAGGTCTTGGCTGCCTTTTCCGTAGATGACGGAAGACAGCTTCCACACCAGGTTATGTGCGTCCGCGATGCCCGTGTTGAGGCCCAGGCCGCCCTGAGGCGGCAAGCTGTGCGCGGCATCACCCACAAGAAAGACGTGGTGCTTGGCGTCGCTGTACGATGATGCCACGCGCGGTGCCGTCTCCCAGATGGTACGGAGGACCTCCGAGTACTGCAGACCCGGGAGACAGGCCTCGATTGGCGGTGCCTCCGACGACGGACCCATGACAGGGGTGACGTGAACAAAGGAGTCGTCGAGGTTGTGTGCGATGAACTCGCTGGGGTGCTCTGGGTGGAAGCAGAAGTAGAGCATGGCCTCGCGACCCGGCGGAAGCGCGGCGCGAAGACTGCCTTTGCAGACGATGGACTGATAGACGTGGCCTGGTCCCATGGATCGGAAGTCGATGCCGGCTGTCTTTGCTCGCACGGTCGAGTTGACGCCGTCGGCTCCGATGATGAAATCAGCCTGGATGCTGTGTCTCTCGGTGCTAATGTCGTTTCCTCGTCCAGTAGAAGTGCTGCATGAGACGATACAGCCAGCTTCCTCTGTATCGGTGATGTCGACGGAGTCGACTTGCCACCCTCTTCTGATTTCAGCGAGGCCCGTCTCGAGTACAGCCTTCTCAAGCAGCCGCTCTAGCTGCGGCTGCGGCCAGTTGACCAAAGGCTCAGCCGTCAAGTTGCGCATCTCGTCGCCCTGGCGTTCGTAGGGGAAGCAGCCAATCTCAGTATCGGCCAAGCCGTAGACAAGCCGAACATGTCCGACATCTTTTGGGTTGGCTGCCTGTCGTCGAATGTAGGCTACATCCAAGCCAGCCTGGCGAAAGATTTCGAGTGTCGACGGGTTGATGGTGTGGGCTTTCGGGTGCTCTGATATGCTGTGACGTCTCTCCAAGATGATGCACTTAATCTTTTGACGGGCGAGGAGATAGGCTGTGAACAAGCCTACCGGTCCTGCACCTGCGATGACGACGCGTGTCTGTTCCATTTCCTGATTGTTGTCTTAGTGCCAAAAAAATATATACATAAGGTTACTTTTGCTATCACAGTCGTTTGGTAACAATCACCTACTTACACGTATGGCTATAGATGAACATGAAGAGGATATGATTCTCATTCTTTTAGCATCACAATGATGTGGTGTGGGATGACCCAATTCCTCTTTAAGAGGTTGAGCGTCTGATCTCTCTTTGACTACCTTGGCTGCAGCTGACAGGTCTATGCTTTCTTGTCCCCTTGTCCTTCCACCAAGATCAAAGTGCGAACTTTACTGTACCGAAGGGTAAATACTGTTGCATAGATCATTCTTACTAGAGTTATATCCCGTGATCTTGCCAGGATTCTTGCGAGAAATCTCCAAAGTGGCATTGGTCAGGGTTACATGGGCCACAGGTTAGTTCAAGTTCTTGATTGCACGACACGGTTGACACCAAACAGCCTAGTTCTTCTGTGATAGTTAGTCTTATCGATTTCACTGGAGACTTTCACCCGGCAGACAACAGTTCAAGGGAGATATCGGTCAGTATTGCTGTTATGAGTCTGACGCATAACATAGTTTACGCTGTCATCATGAACCTTGGCGGCCGGTTTTGCGTTTCTCGGGAGTGTAAAGTAGGCCGATTGCCGTTAACTGCGTCAGTGCTCAAAGAGTTCAATCAGTTTCCGAGTCGACGGATTCCCATGACGCCAAGACAGCCTTTCGCTCCCGTATCCGTAAACCCCCTTCTTGATCGGCGTTTAAACTCAAGATCAAGGTCAAACAAGGTTTGTTGCGCGTTGACCGCGAGCGCCAAAGCTCCATGCAGCTCACACTGGGTTGCTTGCTTTCATGTGCCGGGCCATCCGTTCCAACGGACGGGCGGGAAATTCTATTTGAATACTCCGTACTCGCCAAGCTCGCATCCATTTCCTCCAAGCTGCTTACACATTCCCAACTTTATACTTAGATACCCAAACTATGGCCAGGTACTTTTCTTTCCGTTTTAGGTTCTTTTAACTTTCGTTCCAGTCGGAGTCACTCCCGACGCTAGACAGCAGGGACCGGGCTTAGATGCGAAATCCCGTCCCTTCGTGCTGTCTGCAGCCGTGGTAGTTTGCTGCCACACCTCAGTCATCCATCCCATCTAAACAGTCCCGTCTGAGCAGTCAATCCGGCATGGTCCATAATAGCACTCGAGATACTTAATGATAGATATTAGCAGGCACTTAGCGCGTGGCACATGTGGCTTCAGAGCCGTATGATCATGGTCACTGCATGTTCAGTAATATAATTCCTTCAAGGCAATTCAACTGATCCAAGGTTGACATCGCAACTCACTTGAAGCTTCACTTTTGATTATCGTTGAAACATTCAGAGAGTTGAGGTTAAATCAAGTGAACTTCGATAACACCGCCTTGCCAGACCGGCTTTTGCAGCCTGACACGTCTACATCTCGGTCAACTACAGGCATGTCTACCGCACCCTCCACCGACGAAAAGGCAGACAACGAGCGGCCAATTTGGCGATCTTCGCGTCCATCTCGGCATCGCGCCTCTCTTCTAAGTTTTCCAGGCGCTCCACCTCCCAGTGACAATCGGCCGAGATCTGTACACATATCTGCGGACGAATACAAGGCCATTACAGATCTCGTAGACCTAGCAAAGTCTTTCCTCGAAAAACAGCAACAAAATGGCGAAGTCTCGTTATCTTCGACCCAAGGCGACTCTGTGCTAGACGTCTCAAAGGCTCCTAAACAAGACGGACCCCTCGATCCCTTTGGCAACAACTTTGACGCCCGGGAATGGGCCAAAGCATTCTATCGCCTCCGCTCCGACAGCTGCGAAGTGCGTAAGGCCGGTGTCGCCTATCGCAAGCTCAATGTCTCGGGCTACGGGTCCGACACAGCCTTTCAAACAACAGTTGGCAACGCGTGGTGGCTCAAAGTCGCAGGAGCTATGCGTGGCTTATTGCGTATAAAGCGTCAACAGGTGCGCATCCTGCATGACCTCGAGGGAGTCGTCAACGATGGCGAGATGCTTTGCGTGCTGGGTCCGCCAGGTAGTGGCTGCTCGACGTTTTTGCGTACCATGGCGGGAGATACGCAAGGCACGCAGGTGGCAGAGGATTCTCACCTCAACTACCGCGGTGTGAGTGCCGATGAGATGAAGCGCTACTTCAAAGGCGACGCCATCTACACCGCCGAAGAGGACGTTCACTTCCCGGCGCTCTCGGTAGCGGATACGCTCTTCTTCGCCGCGAGAGCGAGAGCGCCCAGAACCCGGCCCGCTGGGCTATCAGCGGACGAGTATGCGACATGGGTGCGTGACGTGACTATGGCCATGCTGGGAATCCAGCACACGATGCAGACACCAGTTGGTGGGACAGATGGCGACACAGTACGCGGCGTATCTGGCGGCGAGCGCAAGCGTGTGAGCATTGCTGAGGCGGCGCTGAGTTTCGCGCCGATCCAGTGCTGGGACAACAGCACGCGTGGGCTCGACAGCGCTGCGACTGTGGATCTCTGCAAAAACTTGCGCGTTCAGAGCGATATCATGGGCATGGTGAGCATGGTCGCCATTTATCAAGCACCCGAAGAGGCCTACGAGTTGTTCGACAAAGTACTGGTTCTCTACGAAGGGCGACAGATCTACTTTGGGAAGACGACGGAAGCCAAACGCTACTTCCAGCGGCTGGGCTTCGTTTGTCCCAAGATACAGACGACACCGGACTTCCTGACATCCATGACCAGCCCAGCTGAGCGCGAGGGCATCGTCAAGCCTGGCTACGAGCAAAAGGTCCCGCGTACTCCGGACGAGTTCGCCGAGGCATGGCGGACGAGCAGTCTCCGCCGCAAGCTCGGTGATGAACTAGACTCCTACGACGCATCCTTTTCTCTGAGCAGTAGTGGCCCGCGCAACTCACGCACACACTTTGCCGAGTTCCTGGAGAGCAAGAAGAGTGATCAGTCTTGGATGCAACGATGGAAGTCTCCCTACACCCTTTCGTACCCACGCCAGGTTCTCCTATGTCTATGGCGCGCACTCGCGCTCCTCAAGGCCTCGCCGCAGATGACGGTGATGATGCTCGTCCTCAACCTCTTCCAGACTCTCATCGTCGCCAGTGTCTTCTTTCGTCTGCCCGATACGGCCGAGTCCATCAAGTCGCGCAGCACGTTTCTGTTCACGGCCGCTCTGGTTAACGCCTTTGGATGCGTGCTTGAGGTGCCAGCTTTGTACGCCAAGCGCTCCATCGTTGAGAAGCATGTCCGGTACGCCTTATACCATGCATCAGCTGAGGCCGTCGCCGACTTGGTCATGAGCTTGCCATATAAGCTGCTCAACGCGATCACGGTCAACACAATATTCTACTGGATGTGTAACATGCGCAATGAAGCTGGATCCTTTGTGTTCTTCGTGCTGGTACAGTTCGCCATGACTCTAGCCGTGAGCTTGCTCTTCCGGCTCGTTGCTTCCGTCACCAAGAGTCACACGGCGGCCCAGGCGCCTTCAACCATTGTGTTGCTCACGCTGGCGCTCTACACTGGGTTCGCTGTCCCGCCCATGTATATCAAGCCGTACGCCAAATGGATCGCCACACTAAGCCCCGTGTCCTACGGATTCGAGGCTCTCATGATCAACGAGCTCGGCGACAATCGCAAGTTCCCTTGCAAGACCTTTGTTCCGTTCGGTCCGAACTACGAGATGGACGCTGCGAGTATGACCATGATGGCTCGGACACGCGTGTGTGCCGCGCAAGGAGGCGTGCCGGGCGAGACATTCATCAACGGGACCAAGTACATCGACGGTGCCTTTCGTTATATGGATAGTCATCGATGGCGCAACGTCGGTGTTGTCTTTGCATTTGCGGTCGCCTATCTCGTTTTGCACCTCATCGCCACAGAGATTGTGAGTAGCGCGAAGAGCAAAGGGGAGATGCTTGTTTTCCCTAGGGGCAAAGTCCCGACAAGGCGGACTGGAGAGCCGACTCGAGACGTAGAGGACCAAATCACCAAGGGGAAGACAGAAGCCCCAAGCGGCCATGATGCTGACGACAATGGCGACTTGACCATTGACCGTCAAACGGCCATATTCCACTGGAGTAATGTCTGCTACGAAGTCAAGCTTAAGAAGAAGGAGACGAAACGCATCCTGGATGACGTAGACGGATGGTGTAAGCCGGGAACGCTCACTGCCCTCATGGGCGTTTCTGGCGCCGGCAAGACTACTCTCCTCGACGCTCTAGCCTCGCGTCTATCTGTTGGTGTGGTAACAGGCGAGATGCTCGTCGACGGTGCCCCGCGCGACGACTCCTTTCAGCAGAAAACGGGCTACGTCAAGCAGCAGGACCAGCATCTTCTCACGTCCACAGTGCGTGAGGCCCTAACTTTCAGCGCCGTCCTCCGACAGCCGGCCCGGTTTTCACACAAGCAAAAGATTGCATACGTCGACAAGGTGATTGAGATCCTGGGCATGGAAGAGTATGCGGAAGCGGTCGTTGGCGTCCCCGGAGAGGGTCTCAATGTTGAGCAGCGAAAGAAGCTTACCATCGGTGTTGAGTTGGCTGCTCGTCCTGCACTTCTGTTGTTCTTGGATGAGCCTACTTCGGGCTTGGATTCTCAGACAAGCTTATCTATCTGCACTTTGCTTGAGACGTTGAGACAGAACGGGCAGGCTATCTTGTGCACAATTCACCAGCCTTCAGCGACTGTAAGTCCTCCTCTGTTCCCCTTTTCCAGTGGCTAGTACACTACTAACATGAAGACAGCTCTTTGAGAGGTTCGACAGACTTCTTCTTCTTGCTCGAGGCGGAAGGACTGTCTACTTTGGCCAAATCGGGCGCAACGCCAAGGTCCTCGTCGACTACTTCGTCCGCAATGGCGGACCGCGACCCAAGAAGGGGAAGAATCCGGCCGAGTACATCCTTGAACAAGTCAAAGCCAGCGGAAGCGGGAAAAGCGACATAAACTGGCCCGAAGTATGGCGAAAAAGCACTGAGTATGAGGAGGTCAA